GTACAAATATGAAATGAAAGTGACCAAAATTTAATCCACGTATTATTTACATAGAAATGATGTAAATTTTATTTTATATATTTATTGTGTCATGTCAGCAAGGTCTAACGGTCGTTAACCTTAAGTGATCACATCTTAATTAAAATGTAATGAAAGTGGCAATCTTAATTAAAATGAAATGAAAATGATAAAATCTTATGTTTTTTTCAATTCAGTGAAGTAGAGTTTATAAAACTCAAACGAAAATGATATTTTTAGTAGTTTACCCATTATTTTCTGTTCGGGTCGTTTTTTTGCGTTTATATTTATGTTTTGATAAAATATTTAATAGGATATTTATATAATTAAAATATTTAATATAATAACTATATTTTTGTAAAATATTTAATAATATTATAATATAATCATTACAGTATTTGAATTTAAAATTATTAATAAATATTAGATTAAGGCAAAATTAGTGGGTTAAATATTAGATTAGCCCAATTGGGCAAGTTGTTATTTTTTTTATTATTTTGGGATCTACGGCAAAAACTACAGTGTAGCTGGAACTCGTCACGCCTACTTGACGAGTTCCGTTGGATATAATTTTTTAATGGACCGTGGGAAGTGGGTCTCAAGGGTCAAATATATTTAATATATTTCACGGGACTCGTCACGCGGGCATGAAGAGTCCGAATAAAAAATATTTTTTTGAAATTTTAAAAAATATTGTATATATATATATATATATATATATATATATATATATATATATATATATATGGCCATGAACTCATCTCATCGACGTGACGAGTTTCAAAGGGTAAAAAATTTGAAATTTTCGACCATTGAGGGGACCGTTGGCCAACGGTCAATTTTTTTAATGGAACTCGTTACGCCGGTGTGACGAGTTTCAATGACTATTTTGGGAGATGATTTTAGTATAAATAGGAGTTTAGGGTTTAGGTTTTGATGTATGAAAAGTGAGAAAAATTGAGATTATTAAATAATGTGTTCATGGGAAAAATTTGGGTATGATTTGTCGAACGGTGTTTATGGGTTTGATAACACTAACTCAGAAATCAACGATTTGGATTCAAGCTCTTTTTTACATGAAGAGTGGAAAAAAGAGGTAATAAAATACATATTTGAGGAGCATAAAAAGAAGAATATGAAAATGGAATAGCTGAGGAGCATAAGAAGAAGAATATGAAAATGGAAGAGAAGAAGAAGAAGTAAGAAGATTTACCGAAGCGGCGTAGCAAACGACTCGTTGAGAGGGAAGAAAAAATTAAAAATTTTAGTATAGAAATTGAGAAGAAAAAGAAGAAGAATACGAAAGAAAGAAAGAAAGATACGAAAGTATCTTAATCCGACGTAGTGAACGAATTGAAGAGAGATCTAAAATAATAGAAAATGACATATGTACAAATATTGATTTGTATGGTTTTAATTTATGTATGAAATTGTCTTTATTAATTAAGTAATTATTGGATTAAGTAAACTTATTTAGTAATAGTTTGCAATTATATAAGAATTGAATTGAAAGTTTGAAGTAATGATGTTCAACTAAAAAAACTCATAAACATAGTGGGAAGAGTACACGTTTATAAAAAAAACATAGTCAGAGTACAAACTAAAAACATAGTGAAAAGAGTAAAAGTAAAAAGGTAACATAATAAAATTTAACGATTATTTTTAGCGTTCAGCTCGGCCATAAAATTTTGGTAGACCTGACTCTCTTTGAGGATTATTCATATCTATATGAATTCGGCTAGATTCAGGTCGACCTCTTAATTTCATACGCAATTCAAGATTTGGCAACCGTTCTTCATACATTATTGATGTAGGCCAATATGCTTCATTTTGGAGGTACTTAAAGTCACAAAATATTCAATAAAAAAGTTTGTACTCTCAATAGAATGTTTGATTTTAAGTGAAAAATTAATCCAACATAAACCTCTATTTATACTACTCTATCCAACGGCTATAAACAACTAATTTTTTCAAATTGAAAATAGCCGTTGAAACTCGTCACACTGGCGTAATGAGTTTCATTGAATTTTTTAAAAAAATTGATCGTTTCCCAACCGTCACCCCAACAGTCGAAAAATTCAAAATTTTTATCCGTTGGAATTCGTTACACCGGTGTGACGAGTTCACTACCCATTAAAATAATATATATTTTTAAATTTTTAAAAAATATTTTTATTCAAACTCGTCACGCGGACATGATGAGTCCCTGAATATTATTAAATATATTCAGGCTATAGGACCCGCATCCCACTACCCATTAAAAAAATTATATCTCAAGGAATTTGTCACGTCTACATAACGAGTTTCAGCTGCACTGTAGTTTTTTCCGTAGATCCCAAAATAAAAACCAGTATGCTCTATTAGGCTAAATAATTGGGCCGCCTGCATTATCCCAATAATTTTGCCTTAGATTAATCAATAAAAAATAAACACGTAAAATATTTGTTAATATATTAATATATATTATACGAAATACATATTTAGTGCATCAAAATGTATATTCATATAATAGTAATGTATGTTAATATATTGTTGATGATAAGGAAAAGAGTTTATTATATATGTGATCCACTAATCTAAAAGCCCTAATTTAAAACACGACCAAAAGCTGAAGGCATCATTTCTTATGTTTATGTCAATCCAGACGAAGAAAGTGCAAAGTAGCTGATTAAAATATAAGTTGGGATGGTCATCTTACCTCTGTAATATTTGATCCATATATATACATGATAAGAGTTGTAAAAGATTATGTAATAAACTCCATCTGATCAGATAATGTTTTGTGATTTTGTCCGAGCTGTCATAAACCATATCTTTTATCCATTTTTTTTTAAAGAAATCTATGGTCAATGCCTATATCTGATCTTACCTTTAAACAAAAGCAATGTTTCTTTTATTGTATGAGCTTTTTTTTCAATTTAAATTTAGAGTTAAATAATGTGATTCATCATTAATTTTAATTTCTATATGAATTCTATTATTCAATTTTAAAATGTTTTATTTTAATATTAAACGTTTAATATTAATATTTATTAAATCATTAACAATTAAATGACATGACGATTTGATGTTAACGTGGAATACAAGATTTTTTTATTTCAATTCATCATTTTCCCCCCTCAAAATTAGAAGTATTTTCATTCATTTTAAATTATCATAGAAAATTGTCAGTCATCGATATCTTTTGTGGCCACCCTTAATACAAATAAATTTATCTCATCTTCCTCTATCAGTTTATAATTTTGATTTTCTTCTAAATCTCTTTAAAACTCACAAAATTAAACAAACAAATAATCCTTTTTTTGTGTTTAGATTTTTTTTAATTTGAGGGATTTTAGAGGTACGTTCAAAACTTAAACAATAAGAAGTATTCTTTCAATGAGACAAACAACATACTTCAAAACTAACTACATCAGACGATAGTCGAAAGAGGCTGAATCGTCAGAATGTCATATTTTTGATTAATTTTCATCGATTTTGAGTGAGATTTATAGAAAATCAATCCGAAAAGAATAAAGATGAGTGAAATGCGAAGATTTTGATATCGATCTTGCAACAAATGTCAACCAACTTTGGATAACTGATCCAATGAATAAAAAAATCAATGTCGAAAGTTTAGTGACAAAATCATTTTTTTTTAAAAAAATTTAATGACAATCGGTTCACATGATAAAATTCATTGATTAATGAGATAGTGTATTTTTTTTATTAAGCTAAAGTGATTATAAGTAGTATTTGTTATATACTCTTAACCATTTGATGATGAACGCTCAATCATCCTGCTACAACTATTGATGCTTGAATCCACAATCTTTAAGAACAAAAATAATTCATGCAATCTTAGTTGATTCGTGCAGATAGTGTATTCTAAATTTAAACATGCCGGAATCTCTTTCAAAAGGAGGTTTTCACATTTGCCTTATTCGATTGGCTAGAAAATGGATTTAAGGTCGGTGGGAAAATCTGCCGTCCTTAGTAAATATCTCAACAACAAGCCTTTTCTCAAGTCTTCTAAACTTGTCAAAGCATCTATGGATTAAGACAATCTTTATCATTTTTTATTAAATATGATATCATACAATTTTTTTATAAAATACGATTTCTTACATTTAAGCATGAATAGCACAACACACTATCATGTTTAAACCAAGAACTAGCTAATTACAGCAAAACAGTCACATGGGTCATCCACTCATATGTGGTTTCTGGGGGTAGAAGAAAATTAAACAAAAGCTGAAGGGTCCACCGATAAAAGTGTTTGTGGGTGGAAGAGGGAGAAATGAAAACTGTAATGACTGAAAAGAAGAAGAAGGATAAACTCCGCGCTTAATACACTTGAACTTGAATTCTGCAGGGACTAAAAAGGTGAGACGAAATCCAAGTTTAGGGATTAAATTGGTAAAAGTTATCAAGTTCTAGGACTAACATGGGCTAAAGGGACAACCGTCATGACCTCTAATTGACGAATTTGGTGTTTGAAATGAACTCAAAAGTTAACCCCCCTTTTCTGCCAATTTGTCCCACACAGCATCTTCAACTCAAAAAGGCAAATAATAATTCCCAAAGATCATTGCAGAATTGAGTGAATAACATTTCACAAAGTTTCCACAAAATACACAAAGCTAATAATATTGATGTGCAACATACAAGGTTGTGGCTTACGATGATTAAACGATTTATAATTCACCCTTTCTAGGTTGAAGGAAGAACCATCATTTGATGGTCAGAGTTCAAATTATGTTCGAGTTTAGTACAGATAAAATCATGAAACATAAAAAAAAAAACCCCCCGCAATCTGTGTTTTTGTTATTAAAAACAGTATATACCAACCCTTCACTGCAAACTAAGGAATCTTTTTTTGACAAAACATGGGGAAAAAAAAGAATGATAAAGTGGGGTTGTTGAAAGTTCCCATCAAAGGCAGATCGACTCCCTCAAACCTCAATAAATGAAACAATACACGTACACATATATTGATGGAACTGAAAATGCTTCAAAATTGCTTTTAATGACAGTTTAGCACATTAAACAATAATTGAACTTGCAGACAAAGTACAGTTAAGGTAAAACCACTATGGCTAATATACTCATTTATTGAACAACAAATCCACATGACAAGATCATAACAATGGTTATACATGATTACAAGATGTAAGTTTAAAGGAATTTTTAAATATGGGATTCTGCAGATTTACCCGGATCTGATTCTCTTTTGACTGGAAGCTTTGCCATCAGACTTGAATGTTCCAGCTGATGAATCATCACCTTCAGATGAAGCCTCCATTGATCTTGTGAAAGAGCTCGAGAGATCGGCATAGAGATCCACTACTCGTCTGACGTTGTTGTTTAGCTCTTTGATTAACCCCACGTTTCGACTCAGGTTGTCGGGGATTTTCGACTCGTGGTTCTGGTTGATCTCGTTGATTAGCAGCCTGTTTTGGTCTAGAATGTCTTGGACTTGCACGAAATTCTTTTGAAATGTGTGTACAACTCTGGCGTCTAGCCGAGTTCCATTGCCGAACCCTGAAAACATATCGTCTTCCATCTCGAGGAACCCTGAAAAGCGGCACACCATCAAATTTAGGGACGGAAATTCTCAACGATGAAAGGATTTTCCTTTTCTTTTCTCCGACTTTATCTCAGTAACCAAACAGAGAACTGGGAGTGTGCGCTTACGAGACAACAATGTATTAAGCACAAAAGAACAGACTTTGGAGACCCATTGGCCCTTGGCCTATAAAAAAACAACCTTTTGTTCCCAATTATCTCTAAGAAAGAAAACCAAGTTAACATAAATTTATGAGACCCCACAAAATCATTAACCTAATGGCCTTAATTACCATTAAAACGTTACAAATACAACGAAATGAAATTTGGGTTGATGTTCATTTTTTTTCTCATACCTTGAAACGACTAGATATATCTTGAGATTCAACACAAAGGGACGGGGAGGGAAAAAGCAGCAAAATTGGAATCTTTTTCTCTGAAAAACAACTGGGTTTTGAGGCAATTACACTGAAAAATCACCTTTTTAAAACTTTAATTACCTGTCAGACAACCTTTCATCTTTATTTATCGATCTAACACCCCTTGCACAAAGGCGCGCCCCATGAAGCGCGTCTTACGCTAACCTAACGCAACGTGGGGTAAGGCGTGCCCCATAAAGCGCGCCTTATGCTGATATGGGTACACGTTGGGTGAATGGGGCACGTCTTATGCCACGTAAGGGTATAACGTGGTGTATGGGCCGCGCCTTTGTGATAGTCTGACGCGTGTCAGGAAGGCGCGGTGCATGGGCCACGCCTTCCATTAATTTCCCAACCCCCTCGACCGTTCACACCCCCATTCCCCCTATAAATACATCCATTCTCAATCACTTTCATCACACCAAATCCTATTAACTTCTCTCAAATACTCTTATACTCTCTCATAGTTCGTTAAGGTATATTTTATTATATTTAATATTTTGTTAGTATTTTATTTAACTATTTAAGATTTTTAATATTTTATTTAATTAATTTTTTTTGTAGTCATAAAATGGAAGGCGGTCTACTTCGTTTGGATGGAAATAATATATCTCGACATTTTGCTGATACGATAACATTTTTACATTTTAATTTAATTTAAATTATTAGTAATACTTTATTTATTTAATTCATAATTATTAGTTTATAAATTAATTTTTGTAATTATTAATATTTTAGGAGAGCGACCATATATTATATCCTTTTATTAGGAACCTTAAGTTAGTGATATCTACCCGTGTCTGGCCATATTTAGTCGAGGCTGGATTCAGTCACATAGTTAGATATGAAGGCCATTGTAAGATAGAACCAAACCTGATTTTTGTATTACTGGAGCGGTGGAGGCTGGAGACCCACACATTCCATCTTCCGTATGAAAAGTGCACGATTACGCTTGAGGATGTTTCTATGCACTTGGGGCTTCCGGTGGATAGAGATGTGATTTCAGGGATGGCACAGGGTAACTGGATTACTTTGTGCCATGATTATTTAGGAGGTATCCCGCGAAATTTTAACGGTTGTCGAATACCGTTAAATTGGTTAGATGTAAATTTTTGGAATTTAAATGAGGACGCCTCAGAGGATCAAGTTAAAATGTATGCACGAGCATGTATACTACAGCTGATAGGAGGGTTGTTGATACCAGACAAATTGCGCAACCAAGTTCATTGTATGTGGTTGCGACATCTTGGCGACTTTCATATGGCCGGATCACTGAGTTGGGGCTCAACAGTTTTGGCATTCTTGTATAGGGAGATGTGTTAAGCGACTGACAACAGGAAAAATAATATCGACAGATGTCTCATTCTGTTGCAGTCTTGGGCATGGTATCGCTTGCCCTTTTTATGCCCTGTTGTGAAGAATCCGTTCGTATTTTCGCTACTATTGAGGTAATTATAAAACTAATTTCGTATATTAATCATTTTATCTAGTGTATAATAAAAAAATTTCCTTGAATAGGTGATCTACCTACAGGAAAAATCATCGGGATCTACCTGATGAATTAGAAATAATCAGGCTGCTAATTGATCAGAAGGTTAGCACAGAGGTATGCATTTTAATGTTTAAAAATCGATTTTGTATTATAGTTATATAATTAGATTATTATTTGATAAGAATTATATATATTTGTTTTAGTTTGAATGGATTTCATATTCTAATGATGATGTGAGGATGTTCATCCCACATGAGTTGAGGGGCTCATCAGATGTTTGGATGGCGGTGGTCACTTTGATATGTTATGCGATTGTCGAGTGGCACTCCACTAATCGCGTGCTCCAGAAATTTGATTTTGTACAACCAATTCCGGAAGCACATTGCAATATGGATGAGTTACATAACACAGATCGACGCGACAATGCGGATACAGATTGGCTAGTGATGCATCATGAGTGGGTCTTGAGGTGGGAGGATCGACATCGTCGCCCTCCCTATAGATAGCCCATTTATGATAACCTCTTGAAGGTTGCAGATGATTATTATGAGTGGTTCAACAGTAACGGGAAATTGTTTCTACTTTCCGAGGATGCATGAGGGCAGAGCTTTCATCGACGTCGACAGAGACGTACACCGTCACAACCCCATCGTCCCCCGATTCGTGGAATGAGAACAAGTGCTTCCAGTTCATCCTCAGCTACACCAGTAGGACCTTCACAGTAGCCACCGTCTGTAGCGACTTACATGCCGCAACCATATATGATGTTATCACCGCCTTTCCCTTACCAAACATTGCCGCCGCTGCTATCACAGAGTTATATGACCCCTCTTGGAGGATATTATGGGTTTATGTTTACATATCTGACTAGGGGTTCATATGCTGGTTATTTAGCGGGTGCAGCCTCATCACCGATGGTCGCCGCACAGACACCTCATGTACAGTTTTCTCATTCATCGATGTCTGTGTTTTCCGAGTTTTCCCAGTTTTCTATGAGCGGTGGGTTAGTCAGTCATACACCTCCAGGTCTTTATTCTATAAAGGTGCTACATCGTCATCAGTTCCTCATCAACAAAATGTATTTGCTCCTGACGACGACGACGACGACGACGACGACGACGATGACGACGACGACGATGGTGATGATGATCAAAGTGAGGAGTCACAACCAGTTATATGAAGTAATCCTCCTCGAGACCGATAGCCACCGCCCTGCGGAACACATTCTAACCGCAGACATCGATAGATTTTGATATTTCATTATATTTGTATTTAGTTGTTTATTAGACTTTTTTTTTGTAATTTTTTATTATTTATCATTTAATACTTACTTTATTTTGTTAATTTATTTTGTTAATTTTGTTGGACTTTTTGTTAATTTTGTTTATTACCATTTAATATCAATTATTGTAATTTTTTTTATTATTTACCATTTAATACTTATTGTAAGTTTGTTGTATTTAAAATTATATTCAAATATCAAATTGCTATTAGTTTGATAAAATTTAATAATTGTGTTCGATAACTTTCTTAAGTTTTTCACTTAGTATCTCTTTTATTATAATCACATATAACGCCAACGTCGAATCTCGTTTTCTTGTATCATTTTTTTAATCTTCATCAGTGGTTATCAAATAATATTAACTTTAAGTAAATGAAAATTAAAGTACAAGAATTATTATTTGATAAACAACAACTAAGTCAGTTCCTCATCAATGGTTACTTGATGACAACAGAAGCGGACATGTTCTTCTAATGTGTCCTGAGTTTCTACAATGCCCACATTTTTTATCGTGTCTAGATTTTTCTAAAATATCCATATCACAATAAATTCGAGTGGATTTTAGATGACCACGGTCCCTCAATAAAGTCGGGTCTGGTACAATCAGTACCCAATTCTGAACCTCATTAGGGTCTTTGTCATTACCTATGGCGGGAACTCAAATTCGTATACCTTAAACACTTCTGATAGTAGGTATACAGGATCCAAAAAATGGTTATAGTCTTGACGGGTATGTGAGCAAGCTGCTATCACATGAGAGCATGGATACTTCAGAGCTTGAAAAAACCTGCAATCGTACCATCTGTCCCGTAGATTTACTCTTAACGACACAGCTTCAATCCCTTGAAGAGGTCGCGACAACTCTGTGACACGTAACAATTCATGCGTTCTATATAAGCTTGTTACATACATTCCATTTGATGCAACAATTTTTTTGTAGATCTGCAACTAATCTAGGGTGATAGACATGACCGCCTTGAATCCAGGTTTGAGCTTGTCCCCCGAGCTTCGTAAAAAGCGCCCCTAAACGAAAATATATAGTTTTTACCAAAACCACTACAGGTAAGTGACGTGCACCCTTTAAGGTCAAATTGATTGCCTCAGCCAAGTTGGTCATCATGTATCCATATCGATATCTACCATCATATGTGTTTGACCACATTTCTTTATCAATGAGGCTGATATAATCATATCCTTCCTCGTTCTTCGCCCGCAAATATTGAAGCATGGATTCAAATGTTTGAGGTAGTAGTTCGTAAACTGATCAAAAAATTTAGAACTTACTAATTTTTATTCCTTAAAAAATGAAAATGATCAAAAGAAAAAGGGTGGTTTCACTTACCCATGCGCACAAGTAATTGTCGCTCATCATTCTTCTTAAATCTTCCATTGTAGTTCATAGCAATGTGTCTAATACAATACCTATGCTGGACAAAGGGTGGCTGCCACAATGGACCCAAAAAACTCCATTGCTGCTTTGATCCCAGCTCTGCGATCTGAAATGACACAGATTTTTTTCCATCATGATAATATGTGAACGTAAGTTTCGGAGGAAAAAAGCCCAAGAATCTGTATCTTCTCCTTCAACGAGAGCAAAAGCAACTGGAAGAATGTTACGATTACCATCTTAGACAACTTCCAATAATAAAACTTGCTTGTATTTTCCATACAAGAAAGTCCCATCGATCTAGACCACAGACTTGCAGTATTTGACAACATTAATGCACTTTGGGTAAGTCCAAAAAACCTGGTAGAATTGACATCGATCGCAAAGAACTCGATCATTATGGTATGCATGAGAGGTTTCGAAGTCCACAATTGTCCCAGGATTCAACCTCCTCACCAGCCTAAACCAACTTGGAAGTTCATTGTAAGATGCATCCTATTCGCCGTGAAGTTTTTTAATGGCATTCTGCTTTGCCTTCCATGCTTTTCTGTATGACATGGAATACCTATAGTGCGATTGTATAGCTGAAATCAACACATCAATAGCTATATGTGAGCTTGCTTTTACCATGGGCATGATGGCTTGATAGATCACTTCAGAGTCCAAGTTGGGATGATCTTGGTTGATCCCTCCAGCGAAACATGTGTGAGGATCGTTGTATACCATTAGTTCACATTTATTGGTTTTCCTCTTCCTCTTTGATACGCGAACCATCCAATTGTATCTGTCTTCATATCAAGCACGGTGACAT